TCCCACCCTTCGAAGCCTCAGCTGCGCCCTTCACACGCTCGGCCTCCTCCTTCGTTAAAGGTCCAAACGCAACGCCATCCCCAACATGCGCACTACGATCTGCTGCAGCTCCTCTCGACGCTGCAGATGCACTCGCCAAAGCGCCTCCTGCCTTCGCTCCAGACGCACCCTCGACACTCCCACCCTTCGAAGCCTCAGCTGCGCCCTTCACACGCTCGGCCTCCTCCTTCGTTAAAGGTCCAAACGCAACGCCATCCACGGCATGCTCACCGCCTTCTGTTGCAGCTCTGCCCGCGGTGAAAGGGATTATGCATGCCGAATGTGCTGGCCGTGATTGTTGCTTTGATCGGTTTTGCTGAGTGTCTGTGTGTGTTCGTCTGCTATGTTTGCTTAGGACGTGAGCCTTATTTAGCCTGTTGAACATATGGTTGGACAATTTGGCGCGTGAGTGTTCTCTTATGTGGGTGCTGCGGTATCGGGATAAGCCAAGATGCGTTATTGTTTCTGATAGGGGAGAACTTGCTGGATCTTCAATGGGAGATCCTTGTGTTTCCCACAATCGTACTGGCATTGATCGAAGCTTCTCTAAGGTTGCATTCGGGGGCGATTTGTTGGAGGATGTCCCGTAGGTTTTCGTTTTATTCTTTGGAGACCGACTTTCGCTCGTAATAGATTCCAACACGAAATCGATTTCGTGTAAACCCTCGTCCGTGTCTTGTTGATACAAATCTTTTATAATCTGTGCCCGTATGTGATCTGCACGGGTATCGGGAAACTGTGGAGCTGATTGAGTAAGAAGTAGAGCACTGCTTGTTTCTCTAGACAACTCCTGATCTTGACAAAGTGGAGGCGACTGTGCTTGTTCCTCACGAAGCCAAAAGAAATTAAGACGCGGAAGAACAGGGTGGCTCACGGAGGAAACCTGGTTCCTTTCAAATGCCGCTGACTGCGATCGTTCACATATCGGGCCATCACCTTTTCCGTTTCTTGAGACAACTTTACATTTACTGGGGGTTGGGCGTCTTGAGGAAGTTGCTTCCTCCCTTTTTGATCCAGAGTCGCACTCAAACTCTACGGAGGACGCTCCTGGTTGCTGTGAGGGTGTACCATGGCGGATATTGCGAGGTCTGTCTGTGCACGCATATCACACCGACAAAGAAGCAACCTCTCGTATAACAGGAAATGCAACACAGAATACACAAGTACGGCCAGGCAGGTGGTATGGTGCAGAAGCATGGATAAACACGTCGCTTGCCTGAGTTTCGGCTAGAGTCCGTGTAATCTGGTATTGGAGAAAAGTGATGAGCTTCGTTCCTTGACAAACGCGACATGGTAGCAGCTATGCTCTCCATACGTTCTCGAAATGCCCCCCCAGCAATCTTGGCTTTCCCCTGCCAGTGATCTTCTGACATCTGGCTGCTACCTCCAGCGAACCCTGAAGTGTCTCCCAGGCACTGCTCGTCTAGCTCCGAGAGGCTGCTGGTCTTACGCATTTGGCCTATATATTCATGCGGTTTCAATTGAAGTAAGCTGCTCCTTACATTTTGGTGAAGTGCCCCGTAACTCCTGGGGCGCCGAGGCGAAGACGAATTTAGCATGTTCATTGGATCATCTGCCACACTCCTTAGTTGGTGACCAACTGTGCTCATGCTGACGCTCCTCTGAAATGAAAACACGGGTGAAAATGGATTAACAGAGCCACCACGACCTGTGCGTACACGTACAGAAAAGTTCGCTAGAGGCTGCCATCCTACATGAAGGCGAGAATGCAAAGCCAAATTTTTGCCTCGAGGAACTTGTTTTCACATGCAGCTTTGCTATGCGACCCAGAGAATCACTCTGGCGGTGGGAACCACAGAACGAAGGCAAGTTGATAGGTAGCATAATGAGCACGCGCACCTTGTGCTAGACTTGAGGCAAATGAGGATATATTACGTAAAAGCGATGGATCCCGTCGCTTAAAATCTCCCGGGCTCAGCTGCTTAACTTCCATAAACCTAGACCTTTCCCGGCGTAAGCCTTCGCTAGTTTGCCGTTTCCGCCCTACACAAGGCGAGCCACCGAGTGTGAAGTGCCATATGCACGTGTGAATGCATACCTCCTCTTTATGCCTAACGCCGCGTAGCCCATAATGCCCTAGGAATCTACCACCATGCTGGAGTGCTCTACAGGGCAGTGGCAATCAACTTATGTCTAGGGATGTACCTGATCGTGGTGAGCTTTGCATAACAGTGCAGTGCCGTGCCACACTCCGAAAGTACAACTCGGTGCATCTCTGTGTTTCAGTATTACTTCGCTCATCCAGAGTATAACGAAGAGTGGCAAGAGACCTATCCGGCGACCCCCACGGTTCCGTCTGCGCAACGGTCAACCGCACAGCATAAGGGCACCGGGTATGTTTAAAGCCTACGAAGATTATTGCTGGCGTCAAAAGAAGTGAATTCAGTTGTAATGAGGCCCGCAAAGGGAGAAATACGGGGAAGGAGTACCGATTCTCAGCGTCACCAAATGCTGACACTCTGCTTTAGCACAATGCATTGTAAACTAGAAGGAAAGAAAAATTGAACAAAGCTGCGTGTTTCTGCAGCATCCCTGATTTTCTAATACCTGGAGCAAGTGAAACGTTGGCAGCTGCAACATGCTCTATGTTTCGGGAAGTGTCATTACCAAGCTGCGCTATGCAGTTCCACTTAATTTTGGTTGCATCTAAGCCTCGAAGGCCCATGCTGGCTCCTTTCAAGAAGCAGCCATATCTTTGACATGCACTTATAAGCCCGCGGCGCTGATGTCGTGAGGAGGTAATAAAGTCCAGAGCAAGTGAGTTCGACTTAGGCCTACAGAGCTTCTCTTGTCGTGACAAACTGCATACTCGACAGAACGTGCAACGGCCCGCGCAGAAGCCATCCACACGCGCAGCATCTTCCCGCGCCATACTGCTTGTATTTTTGTAGCGGCCTGGATGTATCACAAACACAAAGGCAGCCATGCTCATCCCAGTCATCAATCACAAGCCTGCTCGCTGGTACCAAAGGAATTCCTCCGCCTGCGAACTCGTTTTTCCTTTTAGCGAATCGCCCATACGGGTGAAAGAACATGCCAAGCGTATGCCGAAAATATGGCTAGCAGCTTGTTGTGGCATATGCCTATGCATACTTCGTTCATTAGCCTTTGTTCTTGGACGGACACTGAAAATCGTCCCTGTACAGATTCGTGACCACATGCTCACTCAGATATGTGTCTCGCTAAGCAAATGCTGTTGCAGCACGGAACAAGCACTAAATGACGTAATTACACAAACAATAAATAACCTGGTCCAAGGTTTTCGAAAAACTAGCAAGAAGTATTCTAAATTCAAAACACGTCCACAATACGGTAGTATTCTGAAATATCGGTTCTCACCGGCATTCTTTTCGTCTTCTGTTCCATCTTCCAAAGCTGTTCTGCTGCTGCTTTTGTGACATCCGAACGCCCATCAAGCTCCACTGGATCATGTATGCCCTCAGCTCTTGAAATGATTCCAGAGCAACTTCGGGAAGCAATCTTAGCTGCCCGTCTCTGCTCGTCTAATTCCACCACGGCACTCAAGGCCTGCTGAGTCCCATGAATGCTATAAGGCATACGTAAACGTGCAGGACTCGATGCTTCATGATCCTGTGCGTAATGCACAACGCCTCACAGTGCAGCGAGAATGCTCTACTCGGCATGAAAATGTGCATAGTAGAATAGGAGGCCCGTCAACAGAGCTATGAATTAATTACGAATGTATAAGAAAGGAAACTTAGCTGCACTCAACCATAGGAAGTACAGGGAGGTAACTGCTCTTATGCATGCCTCGTGATCTCTCCTCTCTGATCTACGTGCGCTCCGGCTATCCTCTACAATGGCAGTACATGCCGAAGGAAAGCCACACTTCTCGGGACTTTTCCTACTAGTTCACTGCTGCTCACGTCAGAACCCCCTTTGTAACTTGTGCCGTCTCCTGCTTTCAGCTGAGAGAAAGTCGTTTCGGGAGACCCATTAGCTGGAAAGCCTGGGTGAACACTGAGACGCCCCTTAGTATTTGTGGCTCCCACGCCACGTCCCTGTACACCGACACAGATCGGCAAGCACAAAGCAAAATTTATTGCACGCAAAACAATCCTCCGTGTAGTACAATTTAGCCAAAACACCAATGTCCCGTGTGGAGGAGACGCTCCGTTGAGTTATTGATAGGTCTCCTGAATGCTCCACACCTGTATGGCTTCAAGGCTTTCTGCATTTGCCGCGCCTCTTGTGCTGAAACCTTCCATGTTTCTCAGCTGTTCGGCAGCGGCTGCCGCTACATTAGCCCGCTCCGCGAAACGTGAGAGATCAACTGAACCTTCAGCTCGAGAGATAGTCCTTGAGCTAACACGAGAAGCCAGGGCGGCAGCCCTTCTCTCATTCTCAGCAGCAAAGACATCTGCCACCACCTTTTGCATAAACACGGCTCTGGAAGGGGGAACAAGGCGGCTTTGAGCCCCGGTTTCCCCAGGATTAACTACATGCTCCGGTCCGTCCGATGTCCTTGGAATCCTGTTGGGGGAAACAAAGACTCTGGGGGTTCCAGCACCGCTTGGTGCGAGGCTGATTTTGTCTTGTTCCTCCTCTAAGCGTAGCGGAGGTTGTGCCCCGTTTAACTGTTTAATGCGATTTTTACCCAGTTGTTTGACTTCTGGGGAGGCCTCAGCCCCTGCCTCAGCCCTTAGTTCACCTGGTGCTTCCACAACCGTGGACGCACTAAAATATGTGGTTGCCTGCCCACTTGACGCCTCTACGCTTGTGTCACTTGACCTCCAGGCTTTTCTTACGAAATCCCGATCAGACCGCTCTTGGAGGCCCCTTTCAGATGTCTCCGGATTATCCCTAAGGAATTCCCGTTTACTTGTCATGGGACTGGGGGCAACTGTTTTCTGCTTAACAGCTGTAAGCTGTCCCGTTTTATCCCTCGGAGATTCCGTCGATTTGGCCCGTGGCCTCAGAGGGCCACTGAGAAACATCATCGCAACAGCCAAGAACACAAAAGGCACATGCCACCAAATATTGGGCCCTTACTGCATCTATTGTGCGCAGTTTTCTCGCGCAACCACAAAAGCGAAATCATGCAAAAGCAAGACCTGTAATACAAATCGCCAGAATATCCGGTACACCAGCAGACACACACACACACACACACACACACACACACACACACACACACACACACACACACACACACACACATACACCTACACCTACACACACATACACACACACACACACACAGAGCTCGACACCATTCTCCAATAGCAACGAACATATTTAGTAGAGTGTTTCGCTTACATACCGAGATGTTAAGATGAGGTGTAATAATCAGTGTTTACATTAATCGTTTCATCCGATTCCATAAAACTTGAATATGATAATACTTTGTCTATTT